CTACTACTACTACTACTACTACTACTACTACTACTACTACTACAACAACTACAACTACAACTACTACTACTACTACTACTACTACTACTACTACTACTACTACTACTACTACTACTACTACTACTACTACTACTACTACTACTACTACTACTACTACTACTACTACTACTACTACTACTACTACTACTACTACTACTACTAGTTCTACTACTACTACTACTACTACTACTACTACTACTACTACTACTACTACTACTACTACTACTACTACTACGACTGCTGCACCTCCATTAGTATGTCGAGTACCACAATTCATACCCAGACTACAGATACCTCAGGGATTCTTAAGGGTTCCATGAGGATTCTTAGGGATCCCCTTCGGAATGTTGAAGGAATCCCAAATGATACCTTAGGGGGTGTTAAGCAGTCCCCAAGCATACCTAGGGGATCTTGAGGATTCCATAAGGATACTTCAAGGGTTCTTCAGGATTCCCTAAGGATACCGTGAGGATTCTTAAATATTCACTCGGGAATCTAAGGGATTCCCTGAGGATCCCCAAAGGATTCCTCAGGGATGCTTAAGGCTTCCCAGAGGATTCCCTACGGATTCTTTTTGGATTCCCTGGAGGATTCTGAAGGATTCCTTAAGGATTCCTAAGGGACTCTTAAGGATTCCTTGGGTTCCCGAAGGATTCCTTGAGGTCCCTATGGATTCTTGAGGATTCCTGAGGGATTCTCAAGGATTCCCGAATGATTCCGACAGATTCCCTGGGGATTCCTTAACCATTTCCTAAGGATCAGGATCCCCAAAGGATTCTTAAGGTTTCCTTGAGGGTTCCTTCCGGATTCCTAATGATTCCCTAGGGACTCCTCAGGGAATCTCGAGGATTCCTTAGGGATTCGTCAGGATTTCTTGAGGATTCTGAAGGATCCCCGAGGGATTCCCTAAGGATTCTTAAGAATTCCTTAGGGAGTCTGAAGGATTCCTTCGGAATTCCTTTTGGGATTTTGAAGGATTCCTTCGGGATTCTTAAGGCTTCCTCAGGGATGCTTAAGGAGTCCCTAGGGATTCCCCAGCGAGTCTTAAGGATTCCCTAGGGGTGCTGAAAGATTATTTAGGGATTCTTGAGGATTCCCGGAGGACTTCGCATGGATTCTTAAGGATTCCTGAAGGATGCCCAAGGGATGCTTAAGGATTCCCTAAGGAGCCCCTAGGGATTCTGAAGGATTCCCTAAGGAGTCCTTAGGGATTCTGAAGGATTCCCTAAGGATTCCTCCAGGAGTCCCTCGGGATTCTGAAGGATTCCCTCAGGACCCCCTACGGATTTTAAAGGATTTTTAAGGATTCCCTAAGGATTCCCTAAGGATTCCCTAAGGATTCCCTAGGATTCCCTAGGATTCCCTAAGGAGGGATTCCCTAAGGATTCCCTAAGGATGCCCTAGGATGTTGTGTTGTGTTGTTCGCCCCCCCCCCCCCCCCCCTTCGGACTGACCGGGGGGGCAGTGCCGGCCTTCTCCACTGTGGTGGAACCGGCGGATCCGCTCCCGCACCCCGGGGGGGCCATGCCGGCCTTAACCTTGTTGAACATTATTTATTCTAAAGAATAATTATTGTTGGGCCCCCTGGTGCGCGCCCCCCCTGCGCCGCCTAGGCCGCAGCTACATTTTCATCATTTTCGTGAGGAAGCCTCAGAAAAGAGGGTGTGTACAGGATCCGGTTGTTTTGTTGTAATCCGCTTTCCCTTGCAAAAAACAATAGAAAATGACATTTCTTGTTCTAATATAATCAAATTTCAAGAATCCCTTGCAAAAAATAAGGTAAAGTGGACATTCGCGCGCGCAAGACGAAATCCTTCCAAAACCTTAGTGTTCGTAGCGATTTTAACATAAAAACATCAAAAAACCAATGGTTTTTCAAAACAAAAATTGTCAAAATTTCATCCCGCGCGCTCTTGCGGATTCGTAGGAAACCCAACACTTTTTAAACATTTCTGTCAAACGGGCTTTTGCGAGCAACTTTTTCGAACTTCTGCAACAACGGTTGCGCACCTGCCAGGGCCATCATCCCTGTCAAATAATACCATGCGGGACACATTCGTTTTTTCTTCGCGCGCGCACGCCGTCGTCGTCGGCCGCGGGGCCCTGAATAGTAGCCACGGTCGTCCGCATGCCACGAAGTGAAGTGTCCGAACGTCATAGGGCGGGAAGCTGGGTGTGGGTGGTGGCGAAGAGTCGTTTGGAAATTTGGTAGAGCTTGAACCGGCCCCCCCACAAAGTGGGGGTATTGCCCGCCTCCTATGAAAACCCTGGCACTGGTGAGAACGGAGTGTCCCCACGTGCTAGTAATTGTTGTTGTTGTTGTTGTTGTTGTTGTTGTTGTTGTTGTTGTTGTTGTTGTTGTCATTGTTGTTGTTGCTGTTGTTGTTGTTGTTGTTGCTGCAGCTGTTGCATTGTTGTGGTTTGTTGTTGTTGCTGCTGCTGCTGCTTTTGTTCCTGTTGTTGATCTCGTTTATGGTTCTGACGTGGATGATGCTATCCCCTCCTCCCCCCTCCTCCTCCTCCTCCTCCTCCTCCTCCTCATTCCATTTCCCATTCCCCATGCCGAAGCGGGTCGGTGACCGCACTCGGGCCTCAGAAGGAGAAGAAGAATAATAAGAAGAAGAAGAAGAATAATAATAAGAAGAAGAAGAAGAAAAAGAAGAATAATAATAAGAAGAAGAAGAATAAGAAGAAGAAGAAGAAGAAGAAAAAGAAGAAGAAGAAGAAGAAGAAGAAGAAGAAGAAGAAGAAGAAGAAGAAGAAGAAGAAGAAGTGCACGGACTGCTGCATTCCAAACACGGACGAGAGAATGAGCCAGATCCACCGTACTACTCAGGGTCCGCCACGATCTGCTCGGGCAGCAGGGACAGCAAGAGAAAAAGTCACCTCAGCGTCCCGTGGCACCTGCCCCGCCGAGGGAAACCTGTCCAGCAGGCAGCGGACCCGCACGAACAGGTTCCTCTTGAAAGCGCTGCAGCACGCCTCCCAGCTGCGCGGCTGCGCCTCCACCGCCATGATATGGGTCATGATGCGGGCGGCTTCTGCTTCATCATCGGACAAGGCGATCCGCGCCTGCCAAAGGGCTGGGTGCACGCAGCCCTCGCAGAAGCGGTCAACGCAATCCTCGGACCCGCACAGGAACATGTTGCAGCCGTCGGGGATGTCGCGGCCGCACTCAAGGCCTTGGCATCGCTCGGACGTGTGCATTTTTCCGTCGGCGAGTACCATCGAGGAGCATCCTTGATCATTTGGCGAAAAAACCACGCACGAAACCGAAAAAAACACAGGGAATGGACGTCCGAGCGATGGCCAGAGGCAGGGCATCGGCTCCCCGCACTCGCTGGTCTCCCTGTGCTGCAACACGTGCCCTTCAGAGCCGTGCGAGCGCTCGCCGCCGCAGGCAGGGTCGGGCGCCATCGTGGCGGTGTCCAGAGCCTCCGCGTCAGGTCGCTCTCCGCCTCTGCCTGTGCCTCGGCAGCGGCCTCCGGCAGCGGCCGCAGCGGCAGGGCAGTCGTCCCCCGAAGGGGCCCGTCGTCAGGCGGGCTCTCGGCCCCCTCCCCCTCGGTCCTCCTCCCCCTCCTCCTTCTCCTCCTCCTCCTCCTCCTCCTCCCCCTCCCTCCTCCCTCCTTCCTCCTCCTCCTCCTCCTCCTCCTCCTTCTCGTCCTCCTCCCCCCCCTCCTCCTCTTCTGCCTCCTCCTCCTCCTCCTCCCCCTCTTGGTCGGCAACTGCGTGGCCGACTCCGCCAGGAGCAGGGCCGCCTCGGCGTGGCCCTCGGCCTCCGCCGCCCGCGGCGCCCCAGCCTCGGCCAGCCATCGGCCTCCAGCCCGAAGTCGCGGCCGGTCTCGTGCACGGCGACCTCTGGGGCAGCGCCGAGCTCCTGCGCAGCCGCGGTCGGTTCCAGAGCCACCCGCGCTCTGGGCGCCAGCCACAAGAAATCCATCGGCTGGAAAGCCGCCGCATCTGGGTGCTGGAATCGAAGACGTCCGCAAGAAGAACCACGAGGATCGTATGGACTCATTCTTCCTTGCCGAAATGTTCAAACATCTATATCTCCTGTTTGTCCTCCTGGCCCCCCGCAGGCAGCGAGGCCCCCGTCGCGTCCTGCAGGCGAGGTCCGTGCTGTGCACGCTTGAGCTCTGCTGGCCCCGCCGTCGAAGTATGCCCTGCCCATGGCCACGGCATGCACGGCCGCATTCCTGCGCAGTCGGGCGATGCCACTGCGTGCCCTGCCCTGCAGTGCCGCGCGCAAGGCATGAGTGACAGCCATGAGCCTGTCCAGCACCTGGCTGTCCGACTCCAGCAACACACCCATGAAGTGCACGAGGGCAGCATTCTCGCTCATCCGCCAGCTTGCGCACCGCACGGTCCGCCGATGTGCGTGCCCAGTCGCGCCGAGCCTTTCGTTGGGCAGCCGTTAGCCGCTCGGGGCGTGCACCTCCCGCGCCCACCCCGTGAGCCATCCCAGTCGCGCCCGCAGCCACCGGCGCCGAGCCGCCGGCCATGGGCGAAAAGGCCGCGGAGCAAGCGGGGAACACGGCCTGGGCCAAAATGGCTACGGACTCCTCTTGGGGGCCACATGCGAACCCTACCCCTGCCCCCCACGATTTCTGAGGGGGAGGGTGGGGTTCACTTCGTTCGGGAGCTCCCGAGCAAAGTGAACGCCACCCTCCCCCTCAGAACTCGTGGGGGGTAGGGGTAGGGTCCGCATGTGGCCCCCTAGTCCTCCTCTCCCCTCCTCCTCCTGCTTCCCCCTCTTCCCCCTCCTCCCCCCCCCCCCTCCCTAACCGCTCCCCCCCCCCGCCCCTCCCCGCCCGTTCCCCCCTCCCCCTCGCCGGGCAGGCGCGCGGGGCGCCCCGCCGTCGATGCCGCCGGGCTGGGCGTGGCCGCCGGCGCGTGCATGCGAGCCGCGAGGCGCCCCGGGGCCAGGGCAGACTCGCGCGGCCTCCGCCGCCCCCCTGGGGCGGCCGAGCCCCGAGATTCGGGCAGGACGAAAGGGGGGGATTGGATACCTCATAGGATCTCATGGCCCCTCTTCTTCTTCTTCTTCTTTCACGTGTCCCCTGGGCCCCCCCCCTCGTCTGCGCTCACGTGCCTCGGGCTGCGATCTGCGAGGCCCCCTCTTGGATGCCCCTCTCCTGGACACCCCCGATCCCTCCGACCCTTTCTCCGCCTCCGACCCAGGCCACCCCGCGTCGTTCGGGCGGGACGAACAGGGGGGGATTGGGAAAGGGCGGGTTGCGAAATCTGCTGCCTGCAGCTGTTCTCGGCCCCGCCGTGGGGCCCCTTCCTCGATACATAGCCGCCTCCGGCGCTGGGAGGCGCCGGGAACATCAGCTGCGTGAGCTGATTCTCAACCCCCCCCTTTGTTATCCCCCCTGGGGCGGCCGAGCCCCGAGAGAGCCCGGCGCTGCAGCGCTTCCGCGCCGGGCAGTGCCGCCGCGGTGTCTTATCAGGAGGGGAAAAACACACACAGACACAAGTAATCGTCGACTCCCAGGAAAATATGGGAAAATACGAGAAGTGGGGGGGAAGACAAAAACCCAGAAAATATGGGAAACTCTATTTGTGTGTCCTTGGGCCCCTTCATCTTAGGCTCTCAGAGGCGACGATAGGGGCGCATAGCCCAGGGGGAGAGAAGTACACATGTGTCTTCGACAATGCTCCCAGGCGAACGCGTGTAATGCCCTTGGCATCGCTCGGACGTGTGCATTTTTCCTTCGGCGAGGACCATCGAGGAGCATCCTTGATCATTCGGCGACAAAATCACGCACGAAGCCGAAAAAAGCACAGGGAATGGACGTCCGAGCGATGGCGAGTGCCCGCCCCTGGGCTATTCGCCCTTATCGTCGCCGCCGAGGCCCCCGGGCCGCCACAGATCGGTCCCGCTCGAAACCTGGCGCAGGAGGATGTGGTCTGGGGCACCGGTCGTGTCTTCTTGGGGGCGTCGTTGCAGATTTTCCGCAACGTCGGATTTTTGGGGAAGGGGGAATGTCATGATCTTTTTTGGGGGGGGGGTGGATGGTTTGCACGGCTTGCTGTGCCCGCTCTGGAGGGGGGGCGAGGAACCGCCAGCGGGACGGGCGTCCGTGCTGCCCAGCAAGGGCGGGGGGTGGACACCATGGCGGGGGCCAGAACATATCCCCAGATTTCATGACCCCCTCTTCTTTCAACGCGTCCCCTGGCCCACTCGTCTTCTTTCAGCCGGTTGGTGACTGCACGGTTTTGGGAGTGGCCCCGCCTCCTCCTCCTCCTCCTCCTCCTCCTCCTCCTCCTCCGCGGGGGGTGGGGCTGGATCTCATGGCAGGGGCTATGATATCTCATAGGATCTCATGGCCCCTCTTCTTCTTCTTCTTCTTCTACTACTACTTCTACTTCTTCTTCTTCCCACGCGTACCCTGGGCCCCCCCCTCGTCTGCGCGCACGTGCCTCGGGCTGCGATCTGCGAGGCCCCCTCTTGGACGCCCCTTTCCTGGACGCCCCCGATCCCTCCGACCCTTTCTCCGCCTCCGACCCAGGCCACCCCGCGTCGTTCGGGCGGGACGAACAGGGGGGGATTGGGAAAGGGCGGGTTGCGAAATCTGCTGCATGCAGCTGGTTTCGGCCCCACCGCGGGGCCCCTTCCTCGATACATCGCCGCCTCCGGCGCTGGGAGGCGCCGGGAAAATCAGCTGCGTGAGCTGATTCTCAAACTCCCCCCCTTGGCTATCCCCCCCTTTCGCCCGGCCCGAGTCGTGAAGAACGAATCGTGGGGGACGGTTCCTGGCAGCCCTGGGCCTCCGGGTGGCCTCACGCCGGGCCCCAGGACCGTCGGAGAGCGGCTCGGGGCGAGAGGCGAACCCCTATCGGGCAGGGGCTCAGACCCCTGGGGGTGCACGCCACGAGGCAAGCACGACGTCGGATATGTGGAATTGCGTGCCTCTGTTGAGCTGTGATCGATCGGGACGACCGAAAAGGTACGGAAAGAATGGGTACAAAGACCGACAGCAGTTCTTGTTCATTTTGAACAGGATTCGCCGTCGGCGTCGCCGCGGATTGTGTCCATTTGAGATAGAAGGCCGCCTACCAAACAGCGGCTGCTGCTGGTTCGGGACAACATTTGCTGTTGGGCATTGTGCCCATTGTTTCCGCGCCCATTTCGGGCGTCCAGAATCGAGGTTCCTGTGGTCTTTCCCCTGGAATCTCAAATGCTTTCGAGGGGTCCTCCATCCGCTGCCGAGGGGTTCCGATCTCTCTGCTCGAGAGGCGGGCCCCATCCCTGCGGAACGGCGGGCCCCCCTCGAGGTCCCCCCCCGACACTCTGACCTGCGGCAGTTCTCTCGCCTGCGGGCGGCTTCGGCAGCGCGCGGGCTCCACAGGGCACCTCGGCGCCCGAGGTGTGTGAGCTCCTGTGCGACGGTTCGGCCGCCGCGGCCCGGTGGGCCGTGCCTCGGGCGCCGCCTCGGCAGTGGTGCAGTCCCCGCCGAGGACCGACGAGCGGCGGCGCCTGCGCGCTGGTCCCCCTAAGGGGGCCACGTGCGAGCCCTGCCCCATACCCCCCACGATTTCTGAGGGGGAGGGGGGGGGGTTCACTTCGTTCGGGACCTCCCGAGCGAAGTGACCCCCCCCCCCCTCCCCTCAGAAATCGTGGGGGGCAGGGGGTAGGGTCCGCACGTGGCCCCCCACCCCCTCGCGCGGCCTCGGTGGCGGACGGAGCTCCGCGGGCAGAGCACGATGCCGTCCTCGAGTGCTGTGCGCAGTGGAGGCCAGTCCACAAGAAGCCTTCCACAAGAAACCCAACCGGGAGACCCCAGGACGGCCATCGAGCTTTGGCGTGGGAGCGTCACGGCTTCCATCGCGAAACCATCGAATCCCAAGAAACCCAGGGCACCCTGGAGGCAAGCAGGGTGTTTCTTGGCATGTGTCTCCACAATATTGTTCCATGGTGCCGAGATCTACCCTTCTCAGCCTACAGGGCAGTCCTGGCTTACAGGCCAGCCTGTGTGCTTCAGGCCCGTCTCGGGAAGAAGAGGGCGGCAGACTAGAGGGGGGTCGTCCCCAGCTATCCGGCGTCGTGTTTCTTTCGCAGCGTGGACCCCCAGCGGTCTGGACCCCTTCCCCGGGGTCGGTTTCTCATCCGCCGTCATTTTTTGACGGTCGTGGGGCCCGGTAAGGCCCTCTTATTGGGCCCCAGGGCCGTCCCCAAAAATGTAAGGGCCCAGTAAGGCCCTTGCTGGCCCCCTTGGGGGGCCCTTGCTGTAAGGGCCCTCCCAGCCCGAGCATGGCCAGACGCCTTCCGCTGTGCTACCTTCACGACGCGAGGAGGCCCGGGCCCAGGGCAGCGCTCCGACCAGCGCTTCTCGGGGGGGCCCCGGCCTCGGGTCGACGAGGAGGCTCCTCCAGGGGCCAGAGCTCGCCAGCCACGCTTCTGATGCTCCAGGCCACCTAGATTTCAGTCGGGCCTGTCCCTCTACAGGGGGGATATAAAAAAATGGTCAAACAATAGTCTGGGGACTATTTTTTGAGTATCTTTGGGCATCTTTTGGGTATTTTTTGAATTTTTTTTTAAATTCTTCATCGAAAATCCCCCTGTAGAGGGACAGGTCCGACCTAATCCTAGATGGGGGCCGAGCAGATGGGGTCGGAGGATCGTGGCGCCTCGCCGATGCACCGCCGATGCGGTTCGATGTGGGTCCGATCTGCTTCGCGTCGACGTCGCCGATGCATCGCCGACGTCGACGATGCATCGCCAGTGCATCCCCGATGCATCGCCGGTGCATCGCCGAAGTATCGGCGATGCGGCGTGATCCTCCGGCCCTATCTACTCGGACCCCATTTAGGAGGCCTCTAGAGTGTCCCGAGCCCGTGGGGGCTGGGTGGCGGAGATAGGGGGCCACATGCGAACCCTACCCCTACCCCCCACGATTTCTGAGGGGGAGGGTGGGGTTCACTTCGCTTGGGAGCTCCCGAACGAAGTGAACCCCACCCCCCCCCTCAGAAACCGTGGGGGGTGGGGGTAGGGTTCGCATGTGGACCCCTAGGAGAGGCGCGCCCCTCTCCCGGGAGGTGGGCCTGCGCCGTGGGGCTGCTGCAGGAGCTCCGGCGCCGTGGCCCGCTCAGCGGCCGGCGTGCGCCACGGCGCTCGGCGGCAAAGCATGGGAGCCTTGCGCGCGTCCTCGCAGTTCTGCACTCTGCATTTAGCGTCGGTTGGCGTCGATAGGGGCCACATACGAACCCTACCCCTGCTCCCCACGATGTCTGAGGGGGGGGGTGGGGTTCACTTCGTTCGGGAGCTCCCGAGCGAATTGAACCCCACCCTCCCCCTCCGAACTCCTGGGGGGTAGGGGTAGGGTTCGCATGTGGCCCCCTAGTCGATGTCTGGGAGTCGATGAGATAGCGCCGGATTAGCGTCGGTTAGCGTCGATCAGCGTCGATCTAGCGTCGATGAGCGTCGATGCAGCGTCGGTTCGCAAGAGCCGACAAGATGGTATGGGAGGCTCCGATGAGTTGCCACCGAAACGGCGGGATTCGGACGGGGCCAGGACGTGGACAACTCACCGTTCCAGAGCGCGCTGGAACGCTCTCTGAGCGTTCCGGAACGCTCCGAGGAGGCCGCGGCGCCCGAGACATCCAGTAGAGCGGCCGGATCTCAGAGATGCTCGATCTGTCCTCACCTGGATTTATCCTCGTCCTGGCTTCGTCTTGGGGATGGGTGCGCTCGGAGTTGGCATTCGGCGGAGGCAGGCCAGGCAGCCCAGGGGCGGGCATCTCACGTATTCGCCGGGGAGCCTGATCGAAGACATTTGCTGTCGGAGCCCCTGGATGCATGAAGTGGTCCTCCCCCCCTGGGCCATCTGCCCCTGTTTCGCAGGCCTAGAGGTTGACACCAACACCAAGATCGGCGGTGTGCCTCCACCGAGGGAAGAAGATCCCGATCTCGGTGATGGTGGTAATATTCTGGCTTCCAAGGTGACCGAAATATTTCCACCAACACCGAGATCTAGGATCATCTTTCCCATGTGGAGGCAACCCCCTGTGCTAGTGTTGGTGCCAATTTCCAGGCTTCCAACTGTTGCAGCCGCCGAGGGACGGAAACGAGGGGAGCGCAGCCGGGGCGCAGCTCCTCTGGCTCGCCTCCCCCTCTGGCGCGCGAGGCCCCAGCAGGTCAGCAGGGAGGGGTCTGCACTGCAGGTCAGCACGAACGAAACCGGTACAGGAAAAAAACGGGTACGATGCCCAACAGCGGTTCCTGTTCCTTTTGGACAGGACTCGCTGTCTGCGCTGCCGCGGCCTGTGCCCATTTGAGACAAACGGCCGCCTGCCCAACTGCGGCCGCTGTTGGCTTGGGACAACTTTTGTTGTTGGGCACTGTAATTACCTAACTTTTCCGTACAGTAGCGGTCCTGAAGAAGGAACCCTTTTCGTTGGGGAGGGGCTCCGTGTTCCTTGATTGTTTCGCAGCTTGCCTCAGGTTTTCCCAAGGTTTTCGATGGGAAATCGAGGATTAACTTATGGGAAAGGAGGGGCCTCGTTCCTTATTTAGGTTTCCTTCGGTCAACGCCCCGACTGTACCCATTTCGGGCGTCCAAATCAGGTGGCCGGGGCCTCGGTGGCGCGCCGAGGGCGGGAGCGAGAGGGAGACTCCCACCCGTCGCTGCACTCTCCAGTGCGCGACACCTCGCACACTGGGCCTTCGACGATGCTCGATCGCAGTTAGCACTTGCATCTGCTGCCCGCGCTTGAGGACCCTCTGCGCCGACGGCTCAGAAGCACACCCTCAAAGTCGACCATGCAGGATTGGATCCCGCCTCTGGTAAGGCCCTCCTGTCTTTGAGAAGATCTCTATGGCTTCGGAGAAGGAAGGCTCAGAAAGCGCGGAAGGTCAGAGGCTTTCAGAGCCTTCTGAGAAGGCCCGCTTCTCTGCCTTCCCCCCTCGGCGCGTCTCCGATAGCCGTCTCGCGTGGAGCTCGCCTCTGGACAACCGCGGAGCGAACCACGGGTGGACATCAGTGTTGGGAGTAAGCCCCCTGATTTGAGGGGCTCGGTGGGAGGGGGCAGGGGGGAGGGGCAGGGGGAAGGGGGAGGAGGAGGAGGAGGAGGAGGAGGAGGAGGAGGAGGAGGAGGAGGAGGAGGAGGAGGAGGGGGCTCATGTGGCACTTCTGAGTCTCTTGTGGGGTGCCTCGAGACCCTTCGGAGCCCTGTCGGGGCCCTGCTGCCGGGCCCTTCCTTGGGCCCCCCGGGGCCGTCCTGAGGCCGTCTTGGTGCCGCTTGCGGCAGGTGCGGAGATCGCTGTTGGGCCTGGCCTCGGATGTGTACTGTCGGGGGGCCTCTTGGATCCTCATCGGAGCTCCCTTGGGGTATTCTTGTAGGCCTTCGGGCCCCGCTCGGAGCCCACGTGAGTCATCTTCGAGCCATCTTGAGGCCTCCTGAAGTCGAAGAGGCGAGAAGATGAAACTAGTCAACGTCTTTGATGTTTTGAATGGTTTGGACATCTCGGGGTATCACCGGGAGGCTCAAGGGCTAACCTGGGCCATCTTGGGGCAGCTGGGAGCCATATTGAGGGCCATCTTGGTTCAAGATGGTCCCTCGCGCGCCGTCTTGGAGGCCCGCCTGGCCCTGTCCAGCCCTGTCTGGCCGTGCCTGGTCCAGGACAGGACCGCGGGCGCCGTGGCCGAACTGTCCGGGCTGCTGGGAGGGGCTGGCCCGCTGCATCACGTCGTTGTTGCTTGCTGAAGGATCGACGTCCACGCATGCGCTGGTGCTGCTCTCCACGCGTGCGGCCCAGCAGGCAGCCTCGTCTCGGAGGCGACGATGTGCCATCCCCTGTGGACGCTCCGCCGTGCCAGGGCCTCTTGCGCTGCGCCTGGGACACGGCCAGGCAAGTTTCTGGAGCCCGCTGCATCAGTGGAAGGCCTCCCCCTCTCGGCCGTCCTCGCGCCGCCCCTCTCGGCCCTCCCAGCCCTCGCCCCCGTTGGCCCTCCCCCCTCTCGGCCCTCGCCGCTCTCGGCCGTCTCCACCAGCCCGTCTCAGAGCCCTCACAGCCCCTCTCGCGCCCCCCCCGCTGCCGCCCCCATCATATCAGTATTATCAAGATCGTCAACATCATCATCATCATCACCCTCCTTCTCCTCCTCCTCCTCCTCCTCCTCCTCCTCTCCTCCTCCTCCTCCTCCTCCTCCTCCTCTTCCTCCTCCTCCACATCATCACCACCAGTATCATCATCACCATCATCATCATCATCATCATCATCAGCATCAGCGTTATCACCGACACCATCATCATCATCACCATCGTCATCGTCATCGTCATCGTTATTGTTATCGCCATCGTCATCGTTATTGTTATCATCATCGTCGTCATCATCATCATCATCGCCGTCACCACTCACTATCGTCATCATCATCATCAACATCACACACCATCGCAATCGTAATCATCAGCATCCGCATCAGCATCAGCATCAGCATCATCACCAGCATCAGCATCATCATCATCACCATCACCATCACCATCACCATGCTGATTCTAATCATCATCATCATCATCAGCATCATCATCAGCATCACCATCACTATCACCACCACAACCATCATCACAATTATCATCATCACCACCACCATCACCATCACCAGCACCACCACCATCACCATCATCACAATCATCGTCATCATCCTTGCCACCATCATCATCACACCCGTGATCATAACCATAATTGGCATTACCGGCATCGCCATGCTCATCATCAGCATCATCAACATCATCACCATCATCATCACCATCATCATCACCATCATCATCCTCCTCATCATCATAATCAACATCACCATTTTCATCATCACCATAATCATCATCATCATCACCACCCTCATCATCATCATCATCGTCGTCGTCGTCGTCATCATCACCATCATCGCCACCATCATCATCATCACCACCATCACCATCGTCAGCATCATCGTCGTCATCATCATCATCATCGCCATCACCACTTTACCACCATCATCATCATCATCATCAGCTTCATCCTCACTATCGCAACCATCTTCACTACCATCATCACCATCATCGTCGTCATCATCACAACCCCATCATCATCATTATCATCATCATCGTTTTCATCATCATCATCATCATCATCATCATCATCATCATCATCATCATCATCATCATCATCAGCACCATCACCATCATCATCATCATCACCACCACCACCACCATCATCATCATCATCATCATCATCATCACCATCGTCATCATCATCATCACCATCTTCATCATCATCATCATCATCATCATCATCATCATCATCATCATCATCATCATCATCATCATCGCATCATCACCAGCATCACCCGTGGCCATGTTTGGCTCATGCCAGCAGCCTGGCCCCACAGCCGCTGGTTTAATAGGCGGGTGGTGTGCGCACGGCATGGATGGTGACGGGAAGCGCTCCTTCCGAAGTGGCGCGCGCCGGAAAATGCTTGGTGGCGCGACGTGAGGGACGGGTTGCGGATGGCGCAGTGCGGTGGGCGCGTGAATTTCTGCGCATTTCGCCGAACGGCTGCGAATGACAGAAGAGACTCTTGGTGCCATCGCGGGCGGCGACGGCAACCTGGCCGACAGGGCCCTCGCCGTGCTGCCTGTCCTGGAGCAGCTTACGTCGGGGCAGCAGCGCGAGTAGCTGGAGCGCCTTCAGCGCAACGTGGCGCTGCACGCCGAGGCACCAGTCGTGCATCGGCGGCGGAGCTGCGCGCCGCCGTTCGTGGTGGGCCACGGCTGGGTTGCGCGAGGCCCCGCTCCCGCCCATGCTGCAGAGGGCAGTGCTGGCGAGCGGCCTGGAGGTCTCCCTGTCCGCGCTTGCCGCGGCTGCCGTGCTGGCCCCGGCGGCCGCCCCTGTCGAGGCCCCGGGGGTCCGTTGCTTGTGCGGGGCTGTGGCGTACGGCTCGTGCTCGGGGGTGGCGCCTCTCCCGCGCAGCATGGGGACGTCGCGGACGGCGTGCCTCGCCGCGCTGCCGCTCGTCGGCGAGCCCCTTCGTCCCCCCTGCCAGGCTCCACGTGCAGACAGGGCATCGTGCCACGGTGACGCCCCTGCTGCTGCTGCTGCTGCTGCTGCTGCTGCTGCTGCTGCTGCTGCTGCTGCTGCTGCTGCTGATCGCGATGGCGAGCGCCGATGCGCCCCAGGGCCCCTACGGGGGACGAGAGCCCCGGCAGAGGGCGCGGCGGTGGGCGAGGCGGAGGTGAGCGTCTACATCAAATGTAGGCTTGTGGAACTGCAGCGGTGGTCGTCCTCGGCGGTGTCTTCCGCTCTTTTCGTTCGCCGCCGAACATCGACTACATCTTGGAGCGGGCCGCGGAGCTGGAGCACTGGAAGCGTCGGCAGCGTCGTCCACAAGCCTTCGTTTCGTTCGGCAACTGGCACGTCAACCCCAGTGCCAGCTGCAGTGGGCCTTTGGACTCGTGGTTCTGTTTCTTATCCCACTGATTTGCGCTCTGTGCCTGACTGGCGAGTGGGCCGCCCAGGGTAGCGCGCCCTCTAAACCGAACGGGGCCGTAGGGATAGGTTCAGCTGACGTTCATCATTGGCCTCCGAGAAGCGCTTCCCTGCGGGTTTTGCCGTCGGCTGCCTCATTCTGGCAGCCGCGGCCTGGCTTACGCGAGTCGTTTCTTTCACGCAGCGGTGATTGGCCGCCGCTGGTGTTGTAGCCGCCGCCACGGCGCCGATCCTCATAGCGCCAGGGGGAAGGGGGAGGAGGAGGAGCATGACAAGGAGGAGGAGGAGGAGGAGGAACAGGAGGAGGTGGAGGAGGAGCAGGAGGAGGAGGAGGAGGAGGAGGAGGAGGAGGAGGAGGAGGAGGAGGAGGAGGAGGAGGCGGAGGGGGAGGAGGAGGAGGAGGAGGAGGAGGACGGCGATCTCGAGCCTGGCACCGACTCGCGAGTGCTGCTGGTACACGGCCCGACGCTGCGGGGGCGAGGCGCCGGCGGAGACGGCTGGGCTCGGGCGGCCTTCGAGCTCGTGTGCCGACCGTCTTAGGTGCGGTGTGTCGTCACCATCACCATCATAATCTATCGTCATGCTCAGGTTTTGGCCGCGTGGTGGGCAGCATTAAGGCATCTGTGGGGGTGGTTGCTGCTGGCTGCAGGGATGCGCCCGTGGCAGCGAAACAGCCGAACGCGGCTGGCGCCGTGTCCTGGTGGGCGCGGGGCACCCGGCGGCGGCCCTGTCCCGCGTGGGGGGGCTGGAGGGAGAGCTGCACTGCGCGCGGGCGGCCTACATGTGCTCGGCTCCCGTGGGGTTTCCGGCGCCGACTTCGAGGCCGAGGTCCAGGCCGAGGTCGAGCAGCGGCTGGCTTTCACGGCGCCGCGTCCGCGATGGCCCGGGAGTAGTCCCACGTGGAGGACCAGGGGGAGGGCCGGCGGCCGTCCCTCCCGCGCCCCCTGCCGCTAGTCGTGGGGGGGCGCAGCCCCGCAGCGCGCAACTTTGAAGTGCAGGCGGCTGTGATCGCCAAGGTGGGCCAGAAGGGGCCCGACACAGTGCAGCGCGGGTCTCGGGGGGCAGCGCCGAGGCGGCGGCCTTCCCAGTGTCGCCGCCCCGCGCCGTCGCCGCGTCGGGGGCGTGCCGCTGCTGCCGGGGCTGGGTGGCGCCGTGGCCCCGCCGACCGCGCGTGCAGGGCAGGCGGGCCCGAGATGGCCAGCTTTCTCTCGGGGCCACGGTCGTGGAAGGCCCGCGCCGAGGCCGTCGGGCGCAGGGTCCCCGCCGAGGGCCTCCAGGTTGCGGGCGTCGGCGGCGCGGTCCCCGAGGGGGAACAGAAACTGGAAGACCAGGTGGTGGTGCTCGGGGCCGCGCTTCGCGGATGGCGAGGTGAAGGAGTCCCGCGGCGGGGGGATGGCGCTGCCGATGGCACCTTCGGCGACGGCGGTGGCCTCGACGACGAGGAGGGCGCGCGGGTCGACCTGGGCACCCAACGGTGAGACGCACTCGTGGGCGAGGAGGCCACAGTATGGATCATGGTAGAGTTGCGGCAAAGCGGGGGCGATATGGCGAGGCTTACGTGCGCGGTAGGCGCGGAGGCGCTGGCGGCCGAGCGTCCCGTGTCCACCTCCCTGCTGGATGCGCGCCGTGGGTGCCAGGTCCTACGAACTGGCCGCGGAGCTGGCCGACCTCCAGGCGGAACTCGGCGTCGTCGCTCGGGCGCAGCGGCAGTCCGCGCCGCGCGGCGGGCCGTCCCTGGTGGCGAAGCTGGAGGCCGCGGCGCGGAAGTGAGGCCGCGGGCGGGGGGGCCACGGGTGCCGAGTGCGGCAGCCACGCGGCGCGCGGCCCGCCGCCATCCGCTCCGTTGTGACGTGGCGGCGCGAAGGGTGCTCGTCGCGCCGAGGCTGTCAGAGCCGCTTTGGCCAATAGGACCGCGCAGTGTGGTGCAGAGGCCTGGCTCGTGGCTGGAAGCGCAGGCCCCAGTCCTCGGCGCGAGTGCGCAGGTTGCAGTGCTTCGCCTCGGGGCCCGCGTGGGCCTCGCGTCGGGAGGGTTGATCAGTGCAGTAATGTATTCCCCCCGAACATCATTTTTCCCTCGACGGCGGCGGGCGCCGGCACGCCTCGACGAACCGTTTAGCCGAGGCCAAACGCATGGTTGAGGGCCAGCGCCGTGGCCGTGAAGAGTGGGCAGCTAAGCGAAAGCGCCTGAGGAATGTTATAGGAATTCTGGTTTGGAGTTTTTTTGTTAGGTGTGCTCATTTTCTGTGCTTTCCATTCGGTGTTTGGGGTGTGCGCCAGACGTGGCCGCGAGGCACTTTTCGACTGAGCTCGAGTACGCCACAGTTCTGCGCCGCCAGGCAGCTTCGCTTGGCGGGGCGCCAGACCACTCCTCGGCTCGCCTGGGGGCGCGCCCCTGTGGGTTGTCGCCCTGTGTTCCCATGCTTGGCGTGTGCCCCTGTGGGGCCTCGTCGTCGGCCGGCAGAGATTTTTTTTATCTTGCACCCAGGAATTAGTTACCGTAATCTTGCGAGCCCCCAAGCGTGCGCGTCCCCCTGCGGTGCAAGGCCTGTGTGGGGATATTGAGTCAGAAGAAGGGGAGCGACCCCTCGCTCTTACCCTTCTCGTTCAAACGTCAACTTTCACTGTCATCATCACCAGCACCATCACCATCATCCTCATCATCATCATCACCATCATCATCATCATGTTCATCATCATCTCCATCATCATCACCATCGTCATCGTCTTAAGCATCATCATCACCATCATCATCATCATCATCATCATCGCCATCATCATCATCATCATCATCATCATCATCATCATCATCATCATCATCATCATCATCATCATCATCATCATCATCATCATCATCATCATCATCATCATCATCATCGTCATCATCGTCGCCATCGTCATCGTCGTCCTCATCATCGTCGCCATCGTCATCGTCGTCCTCATCATCTCCCCTGGACCGAACGCCCAGGTGCGCTGGGCCCGGACCTCCTGGCCTGCTGCGCGGCGCTCCGGGCGTGCGAGGCCAGCGGACAGGCCGCACAGGGCGGCAGGGTCCTGCGCGCGCTGGCTCCCGGCATTCGTGCTCGGGGGGGGTCGCCCGCGGGCGTGGGCGCCGGCCGTGGGCGACAAGCGTGCGCGGGCCGGTGTTCGGGGCCGGCCACGAGGGGGGGTGCTGACTAGGGGGTCGGATTTCGTGGCTCCAGCAGTGGCGAAGCGTCCTGGCTCGCCTATAGCCCTGCCAAGCAATGCTCTGAGAACCTTTTGTGGTTGCCACGCAGTGTTCTGAGAACATTTCTGGCTGGGACTGTCTTGTTTTAACACATCGGGCTTATGTTCTAAGAACATTGTTCTTGTTCTTGGAATATTTTTGGGTTCTAAGAACATTTCGTGGTATGACTATAGGAATGCTGGGACGGTCGGTCCTTGCTCAAGTGGCCGGGGTCGTGATATCTCCCAGACTTCATGGCCCTCTCTTATCTGATGGCCTTCGGCCCATCATCCTGCCACCGTGCCAGGGTTGTGGGCCAGAGTTTCCAGTGATGCTTCTTGGGATCTTTTTGGGGTGCCTTCAGGGACCTCCTGGGGGCCTCTTGGGGGCGTCTTGGGGGCCTCTTGGGGCCTCCTGGGGGCCCTTCGGGGCCGATCGTTCGAAATGTCCGTTCGGGCTCTCTATCTGGGATCCCCCTTGGAGCCGTCTTTGGGCCCTCTTGGGCCGCCTCTTGGCCGTCTTGGGGCCCTCTTGAGGATCGTTTTGGGGACCTCTTGGGGTCATCTGGGGCAGTCTTGAGGCGATCTTCGGGGCCTCCTGAGCAGTCTTGGAGCGTCGGGAAGCCGAAAGAGCGAGGCGGCCAGAATCTCTTACAAACCAAAGGACAGCCAATTATTTTTGCCTCGCCTTTTCGGGGCGATTTGGATGCTTCTGAGGCCGTCTTGAGGCCATCTTGGACGCCTTGGAGCGATTGTTCCGCGATTCGAGGCCCTCTTGGACCGTCTTCGGGGCTTCTTGGGACCCTCCTTGCCCGTCTTGGGGTTCCTCGGGCCCGGAAAAGTCACCCGGGCACGCTGCAAGCTCCAAGGGAGTTGGTAATTTCCGGGCCCATTCAAGCTCAAGATTTCGCAGGTGGCGGATATCAACACGTCCCTCCCATCGGCCGCGCACATGGCTCCAACCATGATTTGCGCCCCCCCCCCCCCCCTTTTGGACGCCCCCTCTTGGACGCCCCCGAGGTGTTCTGGTCGTATCCGCGGCCTTGCGGGCCGGGCCCCTGGGCCGCGACCCCGCGGATAGTTGTTTTTTTTTGCGGATGCCCCGCGCGGAACGCATCCGTGCGACCGCGTATCCGTGGGACCGCGCCCTGGAAGCCAGACCGCGAGGGCGCGGGTACGGATGGATGCCTTCGCCACTCCTGCGCGGGGTGGCCAGGGTGGCCCACCGCTTCTCGCCCACGCAGAGAATGGCTCGTCGCCGGAGTGGCCTTCGGTGCGCGGTTTTCGGGGGCCAAACCCACGCACGCAAGCCGGCACTGTCGCATCGCGTGCAACTATCGGCATGCCGCGCACCCAAGGTCACTCTTACCCGGGGTCACTCTTGCGTGTGGCCGATCCTCCTCGTCAGAGCAGCGGGCGGTTTGGGTATGGATGGTCTTCGAGATCTGAAGAGGTTCCAGGGCGGCCTCCAGGGGCCTCGTGGGCGTCTCTCGTGGCCTCTTGAGGGCCTCTCGGGGCTAGAGGGCTCTTGGGGCCAGTACGTGTTCCCTTCTCAGGGGCCGAAAGCATTGGAACACGACATGTTTTCCAATGTCGCCAATGACGTTTGATTCTGGGAAAAGCCACGCGACGATCCCCAGAAGCGCCTGGAACTCCAGGGTACTTGTGGACACGCACACCTCAGGTCGTGAATCGTGTCGCGGACCGTCCTGGCCCATTTTTGCAGCCCAGGGGCTGACCTGCTCACGTTTGTTCCAGCCCCAGTCGGCATCGTTCAGGCCCTGGCTGTTTCTGCTCCCCCGCTCATTACTTGCTTCAGTGGAGATGCGTCACTGGAGCATCAGGCGAACCGTGCCTGCACGTGGACACTGAACGGTGGCTGGCGAGTTCTCTGCTGATGACGGGACTGGAGGGGCTCGCGGGGCCCAGCACGAGCTTGTGGAGCTATTTTTAGTAGGCCCGCGCCCCGGACTTACGACTCGCCGCTTGCGCTCTCGCCTGCGGCCGCGACCAAAAAAACGTATCCCCACCGGCCTTTGGTGGCGCCACTCAGTGCACCAGTTCGGGCCTTTCGGGGCACGCTTTGCAGTCGTCGCAGACACTGACTCGCCGCTTCCCTGGCCCCATCCTGGTATGCAACCCGCGCCATTTTGGCCACGTCCCAACCCTGGTTGGCCAATTTGCGCCTTGCCCTGGCTCAGCCCCTGGCAGCCGCAGCCTGCACCCCCACCCGCCAGCCCTGCCCGCCGTGGTGATGCCTGTGGCCCCGCCGCTTTAGGTAATTCGTCTTTGCGCGGCCCGCTCTGACTCGACTCGCCGTGTGTGCTTTCGCTCGCGGCTGCTGACAAAAAGTCCCCACCGGCCCATCCAGAAACGATGTGTCCAGGCGGGCTGCACGAATCAGGGCAGTTTGGGAGCAGCCAGCGGAGCAGAGAGGGTGGGCAGCCATCGAGCCGTGGCTCGGGGCCAGGCTGCGCAGCTCCAGGTCTCGATCCCGACTTTGCTCTCGGATCGTTCGGCACGGGAGCCTTTTGGCAGCCTACTCGGGCTATTTTCTCGGGGGTGGACAGACCTCATACCCTGACACGTCGATTAGTGAATTGTCCGTTTTCGGTTCTCGAGAGGGCGCCGCGGCCGTCATTTTCCAGGCTTGCGCCCGCCAGGTTTGGGCCCGAGGTCGTTTTCACTAAACCACGTTTTACTAAAGGGAGGTCTGTCCATCCCCGATGTTCGGGCCTTCATTAGGGCCACTCTGGAGGCCTCTGCGGCCCTCTTGGGGGCTCTCCCGGGGGCCCTCTTGGGGGACCCCTCGAGAACATTTCGGAGGCCGTCGACCGAAGAAGTGCTTCTGAGGCCTCTAAGGAGAAGACTCTGGAAGCACTTTTCTTTGGTCGGTGGCCTCCGAGAGGGGTTCTGATGTTAGGGAAGAGTGTGCTTTTCAAGTGCGCTTTGGCGGGGGGTGTGGCGGGTAGGACTCTCCCTTGCCGTCGCCCCTCCTGGAGCCCGACGGTGGCCGCCTCCTGTTGGAGCGCTCTCGGGGCCGCCCTGGGGCATCCCCCGGGCCCCTCGTGGGGCCCTCTTGGGCCATCTTGGGGTCACTCGGAGGCTCCGAAGGCAAGTCGGAAGCGAAACGGCGATATAGAGGCCACACTCATGTTGCCCCCCCTGGGATTTTGGAAGGATTTTGGCATCGGCTTGGGACTGTCGTGGTGTGGCTTTGGGGCCTCTTGGAGGCTGGATGACACCTTGAGCCATCCTGCCTGGACCATCTTGCGCCATCTGGAGCCAGATTGCAGCCATGTTGGCCTCAAAGCCTCTCAAGGATGCCCCGGTATGCCGCTATCTTTGGCGAACCAACGGCATGTCAATGACTTTGGCTTTGAGCGAAGGGGGGGGCATGAAATTAGGCTCGCCCCTCTGGAGCCGAAGAAGTCGCCTCCTGGGGCCCTCTCGGGACACTCCTGGGGCGCTCCTGGGCCCCTCCTGGGCACTCTTGGGATCCTCTGGGGGGGCTCTTCTCGGCCATCCTGGAGCCGTCTCGAAGCCTCGGAAGGTCGTCGGAAGTAAAAAGGCGAGAACGCGGCAATCAGATATTTGAGCCAGATTTTTAGGGGAACAAAAAAGTGGCATAAACATAGCAACTCGGAGGTCCGCGCAGATTTCTCGGATCGGCGCTGGGGCCCCCCGGCGGCGCCTCCGGCGCCGTCCTTGGCGCGCTCCGCGCGCCAGGGAGGGGGGTCCAGCGCCGATCCGAGAAATCCGCGCGGACCTCCGAGTTTTTCGTCTCGGTGGGATCTTGGGGGCTTTTGAGGCGTGTCGGAAGCCATCTCGCGCGATCTTGTTTTTTATTGCTGTATGCTGGAGGTCATCCTGGGCTCTCTTGGGAAGTCCTGGAGCCATCTTGGCCTCTTCAACTGTTCGCGCGGCGCCCCGTCCAGACCCAGGGGTGAAGGTAGGGGAAGGAGTATCCCCCTCCCCGCAGGGGGCGACAGGGATCGGAAACATAATAATAGTAATCCGTTTTTTTTTGTTTTGTTTTTTTTTGTTCTTCCATTGGTTATTCTTATTCTAATACTAAAATTCGTCGTACGAGCAATCCTATGCATGTTAATCATAGTAAAGTGACTACTACTGGTAATACCCATGAGAAGGTTTACACCAGTGAGATTGCGAACTGCAGTACGAGTGACAATAGTCATGCTACTCATAGTAAAGCGATAACTCGATTACTCGAAGGAGCATCTGCAATAGCACAACACATGCAGCGAATAAGACACACTGACGATATTGAAACCTAGAGTACTGGTAGGACAAATAATAATAGCCCTAAATCACCTCAGTCAGATGGGCTGGTGGGATTACAGCCTGTAGTGGTGACCCAATGAGGTTCAACTGCTGCACGCTTGCGGGAACAATTCTGCCTTCGCCTCGACCCTCATACCTGCACCAGCAGCCCGAAACGGGGGAGCCCACCATGACTGCCCACAGAGAGGCTCGCCCAGGCAGCCCCGCGTGCCTGCTGTTTCTCAGCTGCCGGCCCGCATCACAGAGAGCGGGGCCGATGCCGATGGCTCTCAGAGCGGCCCGACGCTGGCCGATGCCCTCGGTGAGGCCGTCCTCAGGCACCTCCGTCCCGGCCCCCCCCGCCCTGCGGCCCTGGCGGCTGGGGCCGCGCCGCGGCTCGGCGAGCACGCGGGTCACCGCCTGGCGTCCGGGCGCGGAAGCTGCCGCCGCCGCCGCCGCCGCCGCGGGCCCGTGCGCGCCGGTCGCGGGCACATTTGCACCGCATCTTGGGGGGGCCTTGTCTGTCCAATGAGCTGCGGTCTGTTCTTGTGAGTCTCCGCCGCGGGTTCGCCGCGGGCCAGACGTGGACTCCGCGGGAATTCGATGCGGATTCGACGTGGACTCGCGGATTTGAAGTGTTTTCGACGCGGATTCGGCGCGAGTAGTGACGCGATGGGTCAGACAAGGTC